TGTCATGGAGCAGGTGCCTTTCTCTTAGTAATGGCCATTCTTTGCCCTTCAAAACATAAACCCCACTTTCATTTGCTCTGCTCTCCTTTACCACGTCTGGTGGTGGGTGTAGAGCACCAAGTGTGGGGTGCTAACTGGGCCTGTAAATATCTGGACCAGCCAAGATTTTACGAAGAAGCAGCTCCATCTATGGACTTCCAATTTATGCTTCAATGAGCCCATCAATGTACATTGGCAACACAAACGATAAGCTGACTTGGACTGCAAAACAGAAGAAAAAACAAGAATCAAAATGGGGCCATCTCTTTTAAAATGTTCAGGAAGAGCATAAGCTGGAGGAAGTAAAAGGTCTCCATTTGTGCATTTCAGATTTTAGGCTGGGACATATGTTGGCAGGGAGCACAGGCTCCAGGAGATCCACCTGGTGGAGAGGACAAATTCCTTCCGTCTTTGAGATGCCTTGTGGAGTCCCTGCCTGCCTTTGGCGCTGCATAGATTAATCCAACAAGTGTGCAGTGTGTGTGGAAAGAGGGTCTTTGTATAAGAGCTTTTTCTTTTTAAAAATTCAAAACCACTGTTGACAATTTCTCAAGTAGCAAATGGGATGTCAACGAGCCATTCCAAATGACAAAAGTAACTTCAGGTATGTAAGCATGATGTCAACTAAAAGTATTATAGACGGAGCTCTATGGGCACCATGAACATCAGAGGTACCAAGACAAATAAGAGTAAGAACTTCACATAAATACACAGTATTTGTAAACTATCCACAAGGCACTCAATTTAAAAAGAAAGTAAAAGAAGTACCACCAGCTACCATGCCATGCATCTAAATAAGCTAGCAACCTCCTGCGGATTTAAAAAATAATAATCTTTGAAATGGTACGCTATGGGCTAGATGCTTGCTATTGGCTTAAAGACTTTTGCATGTGTTTTTTTTTTTTTAAAAAAGGACAATGTCAACCTGAGATATACTAAGCAAGGTTGTACCCCCAGTTGAACTTTTCCAGGGTAAAATCAAATATTGCAGTCTTACATATGCAATAAAGAACTATTTCGGCCATGAACTAAATTCTTAACAATTAACTCCCTGGAAATGAGAGGATAAACAGGACAGGAGGAGGAGACAGCAGCCCCTTTCATGAGTCAAAATAGAACTCTTCAGCAGGGCTGCTAAGGTTTGGTTTAAAAAGTGTATTGGTAAGCTGTGCTGTGCTCTTATTCTCCACTGGGCAGCCTTAAGGGCTTCCAAGAATGTATATTGCTGTAAGTTTTAAGTTCTATATTGCAAATAAGCATTAGAATGACAGGGTGGTTCCCAGCACCTGCTGTTGCCAAAATGCATCATACATTAGAGGAGGGAGCAAGCTAAGCAACCAGAAAGGCAAACTACCACTGCTCCACCAGGAGCAACACCAGCTGCACAGGGAATGCGCAGTTGCCCCAGCAATGGCCGGCAAATCTGGTGGTTCTTGAGAAAGGCTGTGGGCCCTGGTCTGTGGCTACCTCACTGTGGAAAAATGGTTCAAAGGTGGCTCAGCAATTCATCCAAATAAGTATGGGGCCAGTGAGCCAACTGGGGTCAGGGCACGGGTATGAGAGGTCAGTTGGTGTTCTGCTCTCCTTCTGCAGCTGCTGCCCTCTTGACTCACAGCTGATTAGGGCTGTAGAGAAATGGGGGCAGGCTGCTTTTGGGGGTTGGCGTTGGGACGTGAGTGAGGGGAGAAGAAAGAGGGTGGCAGTCGCCTTTTGATACCAGGTGTCACACAGTACACTGGGTAGAAAAGCCAGGTGACAAAGCTGAATAATCCCACGGGTGGCGACTTCTGCAAGAAGAAAGTGTGGCAATGAAATGACTTTCAGCATTGGACAAAAATGAAAAAGGAACACTAAACACAAAATGCATTTCATGCTGCACACTACAAGAGTCTTGAACCCTGAAAAGGTCTTCTACAGTACTTTGACATGGTTGGCATAAAGTAGTGTTGCACAAATCAACACCCCAGCCCTAAAATTAATGAATCAACAGATTCACTCCGCATGGAACCTGCTGGCCACCCAGACGCAACCAGAAGCAAGGACCTCTGTATCGGGAGGAGACACACCCATGGGTTTTTGAGAACTGGGAGGACTGCTAATTAATATGTTGAATACAGCTCATGAAAAGATTCTGAAATTCAAATTTGGCCTCCAGAGCAGTCCTGTGGCTTCCTCCCTGAAACACTGGTCAAAGGGCTCCAGAGGAACAGGTCCAACATGGTAAGGGTGAATGCTGGGCATCTGGCCTGTGCAAATCTGTTTTGTACCTGGATAGGAAAAGCGATACAAAGATCTGTTGGAAACCAAAACCCCTAGATGGGTATCACCAGTCGAGGCTAAAGCAGTAAAGAAACTCAATATGGAGGTCGGATGGCCGAAGTATTGGGAAATTTTGGAACAGGATGGAGATAAGTGGAAATTACAAAGCTATGACAAACTGAAGGATAAAGTACAAAACTGGCTTCAATACTACCAAGTAATGGAGCTTTTCAAACAGGACAGGAAAATTGGCTTTCAAGTGGATAAATCAAAACTAGAGATTGAACTGTTAGAACCCAACACTAAGAATTTATCAAGAATGTATAACTTGTTGTTGAAATGGAATACACAGGATGAAACGGTGAAATCAGCCATGATTAAATGGGCACAAGACATTGGTCATGACATTATGTTTGCTGACTGGGAACAGTTATGGACCACCGGTGTTAAGTTTACGGCATGCAATGCCTTAAGAGAAAACATAATGAAAATGATTTACAGGTGGTACATGACCCCAGTCAAGCTGGCAAAAATTTATCATCTGCCCGATAACAAATGTTGGAAGTGTAAAGAGACTGAAGGTACCTTCTATCACCTCTGGTGGACATGCCCGAAGATTAAGGCCTTCTGGGAAATGATCTATAATGAAATCAAAAAGGTACTTAAATGTACCTTCTCTAAAAAACCAGAGGCCTTTCTCTTGGGCATTGTCGGCCAATTGGTGACAAAGAGGGATAGAACTTTCTTTATGTACGCCACAACAGCAGCAAGAATACTCATCGCAAAGTATTGGAAGACTCAAGATCTACCCACTTTGGAAGAATGGCAGATGAAAGTGATGGACTATATGACATTGGCCGAGATGACAGGCAGAATCCGTGACCAACGAAAAGAGACGGTGGAAGAAGAATGGAGAAAATTTAAAAGTTATCTTAAGGACTACTATAAACTTAATGAATGCTAAAATGTTGTGGTTTCCAGAAACAAAGGGATACAGGGATATAAGGTTAGAAATATAAAAAGGACTAAGAAGACAGAGATTGGAAAATAACAATTGGGAGTTGCTAGTTGAACTATGGACACTGGGATGCAGAGAGGGGGGGTATGGGGAAGTCAAAGGAAAGAGGTTTATGAAAATATGTTTGAAACTATACGTGTATGTTTGTCATTTTTGGTGTTTGTTTGTTTTTCGTTTATAAAAGTTTCTAAAACCAATAAAAATTTTATAAAAAAAAAAAAAAGGAAAAGCAACGTGGAACAATACTTATAATCAGAATACACACAAAACAGCTTTGTCTGTTCCAAGCTTATACTTCCAAGCAAAGAGCAAGGCTTCTGGCTTACAGCATTTGCAGAGAAAGGGTTCCAACAGTTGGCACCTTGTCTGACTTGCCATTTGTGCCTGCTCAGTTTCCACCACAAAACTTCACTCACACCAGAGGCTACAGTACAGAAATCGGTGCCGACCATCTCACGCTTGCAGGCTTGATTGACAAGGAGACCTGGAGAAGAATCTCTTTCTGAGGTGTCCCTAAGCCAGCAACAGAATCATAGAATTGCAGAGCTGGAAGGGACCCCAAGGGTCATCTAGTCCAACCCCCCGCAATGCAGAAATCTGTACCATGTCAACAGGCAAAGGAAGATGCCCCAATGACCTGAGTAGGAGATACCCACAATGCACGTGGAAGCTCTGCTGTGGACTTCAAAAGGTAAGAGCTGGCATGCTGGCTTTCACAACTGTTCTTAACTGTCCCAAGGGCCGCAAGGAGTGACCCCACTGACTATCCTAAATATTTGCCAGCCCTAATGAAATGTGGAGAGCAGCAAGCGGCAAGCCCACTCTGGGTTCTCAGTAGCACTTGCTCATCAACTGGGACATGAGGCAATCCCCTCTTTGGCCCTGGACTGGCGATTGGGATGGACCATATTCTGTCTGGCCCGAGACCTGTGTTCAGGAAGAGTGAAATGCCAAGAGTCCTCCCCTTGGCTTGAGAGCCTCTGTGTGAGGCCTCAGAAGTTCTCCAAGACCTGCACCAGACTCGCCTCTGGCCTGTGACCAGAACAGTGTGGGGAAGGCTCCAGGTGAGGGTTCCCAGGGGAAGGAAGGGTTCCTCTCCTCTGCTCTTGGCACTCCATCCCAGAAGGTTCCAACTAAGTCTGGAGAACCCTGGTGTGCGCACGGGGGAGGGTGCTCCAAGAACAATCCCTCCTGGACCTTTGAATTACAATGAATATTGCAGAGAGGACCCCCCCCACATCTGGTCTTATTGCACAAGTCCCCTCCCTTGTGGTGCTCAGAAATCAGCACAGCTAAGAAATCAAATCTTGAGCCCCAAGACACTCTGGCCTCGGTCAGCAAGACCAGCAGCAACAGCAGACCAAGATTCAAGTAACCTTTGACCCCCTGTGTGACTGGTGAGACGCACCTCTGGGGAAAGCGCCAAGAAGAAGTCCCAGTCCCCCCCCCGTGGCACCCAGGCAATAAAAGAAAGGCTGCTGCTGCCCCAGTCCCCCCCAGAGCCCTGGAGCCTGGCAGGGAGGCACCATCTGTTCCTGAGGCAAAATGCAGCTTCCTTCTGAGCAAAGCACACACTTCATTTTTACAAAAATATTAAAAGACAAAAGCGAAAAAGACCCCAATTCCACAGAAACTCTCCCCAATTTCCAAACGTAGGTCAACAGTAGAAAAACAAACAAACCACTGCCACCCAATCCTTTATTCCACGTGTGATCAGCACCCTTAGGACATCAGGGTTGTGGGCCCTGTGGGCCCCCGATGTTGCTGGACTACAACCCTCTTCAGGGGTGGCAGCAGGAGCAGGGCAACATCTGGGGGGGGGCAGGCTCCCCCTTCTTGTGCCACAATAGCTTTATGATAAGCTCCAAACTCAAAAGGTTGACAACTCAGAATTCAGCTACTGCTGTTTTTAACAGGGGCTCCAGGTTGCCGTCCCAAACAGCATTGATGGAATTGTCTTAGCAAAGCCACATGACAAGAGAAGGCCAGGAGCCACAGGATGATCATCCCACATCCCAGGAGAAACTCAAGATTCCTTCAGCCAGGCAAGTAGAGTCAGACCAGAAAGACCGTCACTCGGGGCACATAAACTCAAAGTCGGCAGGAATGGGGATCTGTGCAATGGCGTTAACAACAATGACTGAACTGTAACTGTTCAAAAGGAGAACCATCAATTTCGGAACAAGATTGATTTTTGTGTGTTTTTTAAAAGACAAATCCCATGTATAAATACGTGAAGAATGGAGGTAGCATGTTTGGTGTTTCCCTCTTAGGCTCTTACCTCAAGTGCCTCTTTGAACTAGGAAATTGTGCTCAACTTGAGCCGCCAGAGAAACCTTGCAAGAAAGAGTTGTTGCTTTTTCAGCATGGGAGGGGAAGAGAATCTGCCCCTCTGCACCCCACCCCAGAGGAAAGCAGAGGCCCAGGTCACACATGCCACCATCGCCTTCTGAGCCGGGAGGCTGCGAGCGCCTTTTCCACTGGGTTGCTAGCCCTGTCAAGTCTCCCCCTTTCCCCACACTACTTGTGGCATCACACGGGAAGGGATGGGGGGAGGGCAGAGAACTTTACCATCTTTTTGCAAAATGATAAAACTGCATTTAGTAGAGACAACTATAAAAGGAACAAGTTCTTTTTAACAAAGGTCATAAATATGTGTCAACTCTCCCCCATCCACAGCCTGCCCTTCAGCTTTGCCAGAGCGGCTTCTGCCGGCGGCAAGGTGGCTTGCTCTCCAGTGGCCTTCAGGGAAGGCTGGCAGCGCACCACCGAAGACTCGCTCGACTTGGTCTCCCTGGAGTCCGTCAGGGCGGACAGGTCCGTCTCGCTCGCCAAGTCCTCTGAGGACAGGTTGAGGCTGCCCAGCTTGGCCAGGGAGTTGGAGCGCTTCAGCGGGGAGGAGACCGTCAGGCCAGCCAGCCGCAGCCTGGTCTCAATCTCCTGGGTCCGCTGCTTCACCAAGCCAGGCTTCCCTCGCACGCTGTGGATGCTGTCGCTGCTGGAGCTCCGCGTCAGGTTGGAGCTCCGGGACGACGACGGTGTGTAGCAGACGGTCTTGAGAAAGTCCTTTGTGAAGCTGCTTGTGTGGTCCACCGTCCGGCACAGGACAGGCGTGGAGGTCTTCTGAGACGCCCCGCCTACCAGGGGGCTTTTCTGCAGCTTCTCAGTCTCATTGTTCATGCCCCTGGGTATGGGAAGAGGCTGCTGCTCCTGCTGGGCCACCTCCAGCTCCTGCGTCTCTTCCGGAATGCTGGTGTCCGCCGGGCCCCCAGGGCCCTCCCTCCCAGGAGCAGCTGCTTCAGGCGCTGGCAGGCTCTTGAGGCGCTCCAGCTCCTTCGTGTGCTTCCGGACCAAGCCCGCTTTCTGGAGCTGCAGGAGCGACTCCTGATGCTGCATCAGGTAGCTATTGGTGGTCGGCTTCTCCAAATCCTTGCTGAAGAGCAAGTACTTCAGGTCCTTGGTCTGCCGGGCGTCCCTTTTTGGCGAGGAATCCTCTTTCATCCCATCGCTGAGGATGGGACTCCTCTCACAGAGAGAGTTTCTCAGGCCAGCTGGAGCTCTAGGGCCATCTCTGGGCTTCTCGGAAGCACTGCAGGGCCAGCCGGCTGCAGGTTTGCTGGGATCAGCGCTCTGCAAGTCACTCCCCGCTAGTAGTGGAGGCAAGCGGATGCTTTTTGCAGTGTGGATTTCTTTTGGGGGAGACTCACAGAATGCCTGCTCCAAAAACGCGGGTGTCCTGTGCAGGAGGAACGGCGGCTGTGTGCAGACCGTGGAACTGCGGGAGGGGGAGGCCAGGTGCAGGGGCTCACATGGTTCCCCAAAAGCGTCGGCTGAGGCACCAGCACTGGCATACACGCAGTCGGCGCAAGACTTGTAGGAAGGCTTCACTTTGCTGAGGATCCCAAAGATGGCATCGTGCTGAAGGGGACAAAAGAGGCCAGGTTAAGAGGTGCCAGGCATGAAACAAAAATGGGAAAGCAGAACCTGCAACCCCTGCATTGCGGAGGTTGAACTAGGTGGCCCTTGGGGTTATTTCCAGCTCTACCATTCCATAGACCTGGGCACAGCATCATGGGAGGGGCACTTCCAGCTGCCCCACTCCTTGCCCTGGAAGCCTCCCAAGTTGATGCTGCAGGAGAGGGACTGAGCCAGTGTAGTAGAGCAATAGTAATAACAGTGGTGTGTGTGTTCCAACCTCCACTTGGCCATGAACTCACCAAGGGAGCCTGGGCTAGTCACAGCCTGTCACCTTGGCGGGGGGGGGGGGGTTAAACAAGGAGAGGGAAAACCATGTGCGCCACCTTGAGCTCTGTGGAGAAAAAGGTGGGAGAGCAATGCAATAAATAAGGGTAATTGGAGGGGTGTTTCTGGGACCAAAGTAAAACGGTCAAGCTCCCTTCTTGTTTTTGCTCTTGCCAGGAGATGTAATGTGCTTAGTGCAACTGTGTTATATTTATAGTGCTTTTGTTATATTGTGCTTTTGTTATATTTCCTAATACATTGTTGTTCTATTATGCTATTATGAAATTGTTCTTGTGATGACTGGTTGTGAGATGTGTTCCTGTTTTCTTGGTTGTAAGCCACTTTGAGCACAGAAAAGTGGCACAGAAATAAAATTATGAATTGTGAATGAATGAAGGTCTATCAGTGGCTGTTAAGCAGGTCTGCCAGCACATCAGGGCTAGAGCTTAGCCAATCAAGTGTATGAGCTTGAATCAGTCCATCAAATCCACAGAAGTTCTAAGGGAAAAACACAAATGTTGGTTTTGGACTGCTTTAGAAGAAGCAGTCTTCCGCACCACTTTCCTGCACCAGACAAAAGTCTGTTATGATGCTACACGTTGTCTGCACTTCTTATAAATACTTGTATTAAAAATAATTTTTAAAAGACTTTGCCCAACTGGTTAGGAAATGTGGGTGGCACTGTGGTCTAAACTACTGAGCCTCTTGGGCTTGCCAATCAGAAGGTTGATGGTTTAAATCCCTGCGACGGAGTGAGCTCCCATTGCTCTGTCCCAGCTCCTGCCAACCTAGCAGTTCAAAAACACACCAGTGCAAGTAGATAAATAGGTATGGCTGCAGCGGAAAGGCATTTCAATGTGCTCTGGCTTCCATCAGTGTTCATTGTGCCAGAAGCAGTTTAGTCATGCTGGCCACATGACCCGGAAAGCTGTCTGTGGACAAACGCCGGCTCCTTCAGCCTGAAAGCGAGATGAGCGCAGCACCCCATAGCCACCTTTGACTGGACTTAACCGTCCAGAGGTCCTTTACCCTTTCCCTTTTACTTACTAGGTAACTGGAACCTTTTGTGTCCTAAGGCACTGTGTCTCTGAATTACCAGGTGCTTGGGGAGTGGGGGTGGAATCTTAGAACTGTAGAGTTAGAAGGGACCACAAGGGTCTTCTAGTCCAACCCCCTACATTGCCGGAATCACACCTAAAGAATTCCTGACGGATTGCCATCCAACCTCTGCTTAAAAGCCTCCAACAAAGGAGGGTCCACCGCCTTCAGAGGGAGACCATTCCATTGTCCAACAGCTCTTACACTCAGAATGTTCTTCCTAATGCGTAGTCAGAATCAGAACAAGGGAGGGCTGTGGCTCACACTTCTTATGGCTATCTGGCTGGCTACTCTCAGAAACAGACTAGGCTAGAGGTGGCCTGTGCCTCCTACCACTAGGCTTGGCAGCCCAGTCTCCTGAAAGGGCACCGTGGAGCTGTCCTTGGGGACCCTGGCTGGATTCGGTGGGGCTGTTCTTCTGTTAAGGACAAAACTGGGTGGCAAGCCAGCCACTGAGAAAAGATCCCCCACTACATTTCCATCTAGGAGCCCAAAATGCATGGACACACTTTGCCAGGAATGAGAGACCCTCGGTCTGTAAGCCACCAGGCTGCTTTCCTGAAGCCATGCCCACAACACATGATGTCAGGCATGGGGGCAGACCAAGTGAAGGGTATGGAAAGGGACCGGAGCCCCTGCCCATCAGTTGATATGCAGGGAGTTCAATTCTGCATGGGCCCCAAGGGCCAACTCTGGCAGGTGGGCAGGACAACCCACCTGTCAGTTATCCCCATATGTCACTATAACGTCTGATGATGGCAGGTGGGTGGTTCCACTGAGGTGGGGGGACTTACAGGACTTCTGCCCCTTTCTGCATTTCAAAGTGAAACTTCCAGAACCAGGGAAGCCAAATTCACAAGGAGTTGCTGTGGCCGGGAGGAGAGTTTCTTGGGACCTGGAGTGTGGTGGCCCAGAGGGGTTCAAGCCTCATCTCTGCCTTGGAATCATGACATAGACCTGGTCTACCAGGCTCTCTTAGACTCCCTTAATGCAGCAGGAATAATGCCAGCACACCTTCCTGGAAGGGCAAATGCAACTGATGATGTAAAGCACTTAGCAAAAATTAGAGGTGCTATGGAAGTTAGGAGGGAATTATAAACACCATTTTCCCATGGTCTGAGGGCTTCCAACCCAGCTCAGAAGTGGGGGGAACCTTGGTGACACAGCAGCACTACTGGGGGCCCTCTGGGGAGAGGATGACTCAGGAGAACCAGGTTCACAGCACAAGCTCCACCTCAGCAAGAGGCTATTTTTCAGTTCTGCCCTGATGACAAAAATACAATGAATTCCCTACTGTCCCTCTCTGGTTTTTAAGTGTGCTAGAAGGAGCTGCAGAATTGAAGAGAAACTTGCTCTTTTAAAAATAACGGATGACAACGGTCCAAGGGGCCTCTTGGCTGGCACACGCCACTCACAGTGGTGGAGAAAACCAGTGTCAGAGCACCCAGCTTCCTCCCTGTGAGTCAGGATTTCCTCCTTCCCGCCAGACAAAGCCACAGAGGGCTTCCTCATTGAAATAGCAGCCATCACAGAAATAGCCGCCTTTCTCAGCATTGTGGGAGATTTCCTCAGGTGCGGGCCTCCTCCTGCACCTGGCTTGGGCAAGGAAACAAGGGGTGAGCTTGAGGGGCCAGGCAGGATGCTTCTGACTGAGAAGGCCGACTGGAATGATCTATAATGAAATCAAAAAGGTACTCAAATGTACCTTCTCTAAAAAACCAGAGGCCTTTCTCTTGGGCATTGTCGGCCAATTGGTGACAAAGAGGGATAGAACTTTCTTTATGTACGCTACAACAGCAGCAAGAATACTCATCGCAAAGTATTGGAAGACTCAAGATCTACCCACTCTGGAAGAATGGCAGATGAAAGTGATGGACTATATGACACTGGCCGAGATGACAGGCAGAATCTGTGACCAACGAAAAGAGACGGTGGAAGAAGAATGGAGAAAATTTAAAAGTTATCTTAAGGACTACTATAAACTTAATGAATGCTAAAATGTTGTGGTTTCCAGAAACAAAGGGATACAGGGATATAAGGCTAGAAATATAAAAGAGGATTAAGAAGACAGAGATTGGAAAGTAACAATCGGGAGTTGCTAGTTGAACTATGGACATTGGGATGCAGAGAGGGGGGGTATGGGGAAGTCAAAGGAAAGAGGTTTATGAAAATATGTTTGAAACTATACGTGTATGTTTGTCATTTTTGGTGTTTGTTTGTTTTTCTTAAAAAGTTTCTAAAACCAATAAAAATTTTATAAAAAAAAAAAAAAGAGAAGGCCGACTGGAGAAGTCTTTAGCTGCTTGAGGGAAGCAGTCACTCAAAGCGCATAGCTGAACTCCTCCCTCTGGAGGGAGAGATGGCCACCAACTTGGGTTGCTTTAAAAGAGGATTACAGTGGTACCTCGGGTTACAGACGCTTCAGGTTACAGACTCCGCTAACCCAGACATAGTACCTCGGGTTAAGAACTTTGCTTCAGGATGAGAACAGAAATCGCGCGGCAGCAGCGGGAGGCCCCATTGGCTAAAGTGGTACCTCAGTTTAAGAACCGTTTCAGGTTAAGAACGGACCTCCAGAACGAATTAAGTTCTCAACCCAAGGTACCACTGCAAATACATTCATGGAGGAGAGGGATATCAATGGCTCCCAACCAGGACGGCTCTGCTCTGCTTCTGTATACCAGTCGCTGGAAGCCATGTCAGAGGAGACTGCTCTTGCGCTCAAATCCTGCTCTCTGGTTTCCCACAGGAATCTTGTTGGCCACTGTGAGGATGCTGGACTAGACAGGCCATTGGCCTGACCCATCTTTTTATGTTCTTCTATAGTTCTGTGTACCATTAATGAGCTGCTTTACCTGCTGCATTCTGAGTAAGGATGGATGCAAAGGACCTTCCTTCTCGTACCTTCCCACTCTGACAAGCTGTGATGTTTTCCATCCACAGGCTGCATCTTGGGAATATAGCATAACTGGTTTGTTTGAGGAAGAGGCTCAGTGCGTAAGCCAACCTGTGTCAGGTGAGCTGCAAAACTCTCAAGTGTCCCAGGGGTTGCTGGCTGCTGAGTTCATGAGACTTATTCGCCCGGATTGGTTCTGCTCAATTCCTAATACGTGGAGAACACAGAGGTAGGGAGGGGTGGTGAGCTCTGCTGCTCTAACCCTCACTTCAGAGGAGGTGTCAAAATAAGAAGGGAATAGGAATATTCAATCCTTTTCTCAACAGAGTGTCCAGATCAAGGGAAGTCTTAGTCCCCCTTCTATTCTGCCTTATGTCAGACACCACCTGGAATATGGTGTCGTTTTGGAGGCCACAATTTAAATAAGCATATTGACAAGTTGAAATGTGGGCAGAGGAGGGTGACCAAGATGATCAAGGGCCTGGAAACCAAGCCTGATGAGTAACGGTTGAAGGAGCTTGGGATGTTTAGCTTGGGAAATGGAGCAAGCTTGCTTTCTCCTGCTCTGGAAGGCAGGACCCAAACCAATAGATTCAAGTTACAAGAAAGGAGATTCCAACTAAACATAAGAAAGATCTTTCTGGTGGAAGGAGGTTTTTAGCAGTGGAACGGACTCCCTCGGGAGGTGGTGGACTTTCCTTCATCAGAAGCATTTAAGCCAAAGTTGGATGGCTACCTGTCAGGAATTTCTTAGCTGTGACTCCTGCATTGCAGGGGGTGGACTAGATGACCCTTGGGTCCCTTCCAACTCTATTATTCTCTTTTTAAGAAAAGAAAAGCATACTCCTACTGCTATTTCTCCGTGTGAACTTTCCCGGAGACAGCTTACATGTTCTCTTCTGCTATATATTAATAGTTGGGCCTCATCCAACCCTCCCAGGCTGCCGGTGTCCCCTATGGAAAGAAGGGCTACTTACACCCCAGAAAGGAAAGCACAGTTCAGGGAGGGATATTCCATCACAAGATGCATCCCTGAAGATCCTGCTTTGGGGGACAATATGAAGCATGGACTTGCGTACTAAGGGAGAGGGTGACCAGCGACAAAGTATGGCACGACCTCCTGAAGGACTCCAAACAAGAGCAACTACCATGATCTGCCTTTGGTCATGCCAAGACATGCAAGAATATCCGTGTGTGGGTGTGTGGGTGTGATACACACAACCAAACACTCTGATGTGCTCAACTGAGCTCCACAGTTCAGTCCAACACACACCTCAAAATCCTCAGGGCAGCTCCTCTTGCTGTTGTTGTTGTTCAGGTTCTCACAGTTCCACCGGCTCTCCTCCTCCTGCGCAGATGAGTGACGCTTCCAGCGCTCAATGAGCTTCTCCTCTGCAGGGTCTCCTTCTTCCGGGACAGCAAGCCTGGGTACAGCTCCGGCCTTCAGGAGGCTGACCTCAGGATTCCCCTCCACAGTTTTCTCCCCTGAGACCTCTGCTCTCTCCACGCTCTTCAGCTTTTCCACTGGAGGCTCATCAACAAACCCCAAGAAGGGCAGCTCTGTTGCTGCCAAATCTGACTCCTCCTCCTCCTCCAGCAGAAAGTCCCTCTCCAGGTCCTCCAGCTGGAAAAGTGACTCTCTGTTCACAGGCAAGGAGTCAGAAAGGCGCCTGAAGCAGTAGTGGAAGCCCACGGCCTCCTGGCTTGTGCGGGGGTCTGCACAGCTGGGCTGGCAAGGAGCATCCAGGTCAACATCCAGACTGTCAAGCAGATAGTCACTTGGCCCACCAGAGCTGCCCAAGTTCTGGGGGAGGCTGTCCTCAGGCTGTTGCTTCCATAGCTTGTTATGACGCTGTTTGCTATGGGGCAAGGCAGCCGGGTTGGGGGGGGGAGAGAGAGAGAGAGAGAATAAATTAATCATGTGTTTCTCAAAGTTCCTCACCAGGCCTCCTCTCTCTCAGCTGTCACCTGGGAGCAACTGTGTCACCTGGGAGCAACTCCACAACTGTGGAGCTCAGCCCATTCCATAGCACTGCCTCAGTGGAAGAGACAGCAAGCAGCAGGGCTCTGTCCATCAAACTTTGCTGAAATGTCCAACAACATCAGGCACCCCCTGCATTTGCAAGCTGGTCATTATAAGAACAACTGTTTAGGAATGGGTGCCTAAGTTTGATTTCCCTCCCTGTCCCTTTCCCCTTGTGTGTTATATGTTGTTCTTATTTCTTTCCTTTTTTTTTTTAGTTTGCAAGCCTGTGGGGCAGGGACTGTCTTTGTTTTAACGGATGGAAGCCTCTGGTAGCCTTTCTGGTGAGTACCAATGCCCTAAATGAGAATGAATTAATGTATGAATAAAACCCTGAGTCAGGCTCAGAGCAGACTGGCAGCCCATGAAGACTTCATCACCTGCCTTTTCTTTTCTCTTCTTTTAAAGTAATTTGTATGGCTGTTGCTTTTTTCCGTTTTAGAGTTAAGAAAAGACAAAGGCAAGACAAGAAGAGCTGCACCTTGTGCTGCATGACCTGAAGGAAGACAACTTTCATCCTTATGTAAATAAAGTCAAGCAGAAGAGTAAGGCAAAGGGAGTCTGAGGCATATGAGCACCTCCTTCTTCTGAATGTGTGGATCTGTCCTGAAGCTCCACCATTTCAGACAGAAGAACAATGGGGTCAGTGGCAGCAGGGGGCCAATGCTTACCTTGCTCCCTCCACTTTCCCTCCCAAGCCCCAGCGCCCTACCTGGCATCCAGAATGCCCTCATACTCCAGGAGCTGCCTCATGAAGCCAGCATTGGGTCTGGCGATGCTGCGCTTCTGCTTGACGTAATTGTATGCTTTCTCCAGGGGCCAGCCAAATTCCTTCATGGCGTACGCGATGACGGTGGAGGCAGAGCGACTCACACCCATTTTGCAATGGACTAGACACTTGGAACGGTTTTTCCTGTAGAGGGGAGGGAGATTGGCAGCTGGGGAAACAACCATTCTTGGTTCTGCAGCACAAACTGGGAAACTTGAAAGCTTTTGTGAATCAAGATTCCAAGCACCTCTTTGATTTGTCAACAAACAAGCATTTATTTAGGGCATGGGTAAAGTAGCTTTGGCTGCCTGGCAGCACAGCACAGGTGCTCATAATAGCAATGGCCACGAAGCCTCTGTGAGTGAGTAAGAGCTCTGAACTCATATCCCAGCCCACTTATGTACTGGTTGGGAGAGTGTTAAGGCAGATCCATCTCTCTCCAACTCAGCTCCACATCTGTATAGAAGGATAATGCAAACACATTCTGCAGGGCAAGTGTGAGAATGAATGAAGCAGAGGGTCGTAAGGCGCTATGCAAAACACAACAAATAGTCCCATCCACATCAGAGGCATGGCTGGTGGTGACATGAGAGAGAGCCTTATCTGGGGCTGCTCCCATATTGAAGGATTCCCTCCTGAGAGGCTATATGGGCTCCCTCTTTCCATTGGCAGGCCAAGAGCTTCCTGCTCAAAAAGGCCTCTGGAAACTGAGGTGCAAACAATGCTGATCGCTGGGCAGCTGTCAAGGCAAACTGTAGTTCAACTGCTGGCTCTAAATGTGTTCTGATAACTTGGTTTTTAACTAGTTTGTTTTCCTTTGTATTTTATAATGATGCTTCTAAATGTTGTAAGCCACCTTGAATCCCAACTTAGGAGAAGGGCAGATCATAAATACAATAAATAAACAGTTAGCTTATACAATTTTTGTCAAGACACCAACACCAGTGATTTAGGGGACAGGCCAGCTGGTGGCTCTCTCTGGGCTGGTGCAGCTTAGTGGCTGAGGGACTCCCCAGGAAAACACTGGCTCTGCTGGGTGCAACACAGGAGGAAGACTGCTGACCTGCCTTACAAGACTGTTGGAAGGATTACTGAGACCATGTTTGCAAAGCTGTTTGAAGGCTCCTTTGTGCCATATGAACGCTAAGTATCATCAGTGAAAACAGTTAGCAAGGGAAGCTTTATTTTCACCAGCAGGACACCAGGGACATGGAGCTGCCTGGGCATGACTGCTGCTGCCACCCTGCCTTTCTTGTAAACTTTGCTGGTGAAGCTGCCCTTCTGTTTGGAGGCAGAGCCCTGGGCTGTACGCACCACAGTGAGGCTCTCCCAGCATCCAGAAGAGGGCTTCCCTCATCGCTGCCAGAAGACGGCATGCGGAAAAAGTGTCCCTTCTGTGCATCAGCTTACTTGGCTTTGTTGATGAAATGGTACGCCTCGTTCCAGTGGGCAAGGAGGTCGGTGGTCTCTTCATCATAGACCCTGATGTTGTGGTATGCAAACAAGCCAGGGAAAAAATTGTCAATCTCCCTTGTGACGTTTAAGATGTAGTCAACGCTGCAAACATAGGAACAGATCAAGACAATGTTTGTGCAAAACAGATGAAATGTCTCCTGCAGTAGCACCACTTGGACTTACAATCCCACCCGCTCAAGATTACCCAAATGATGACCTCTTGGCCTTTCTATTGACTGCTGGAGACAGCCAGATGCTGGAAAACCGGAATTGGGCTGAACAGTGATTCTTGGTATGGTCATTAGCACTGGCTGAACAACTAACATGCCAGGTCAGAGCAGCAAAGGGCAAACACAAACTATTCCTTTTATATCATATGGCAGATGTTTATTGAATACATAAATTGTTCAGACTGTGGCAGGAATCCACCCAACACTCACGCGAAAGTGTGGTGTGATCTTTCAGAGTAATCAAATGAAACTTTGTTACATAGCATGACAAAAGTCAGTAATTTTATCAGGGCAAGTTATTTGTTGTTTACTGTTGTAACAACAGTTTTATAAGAGACTGTGGTTTTATCATTATGGTGGGGGCAGGGAAAACAGCAGCATTTCTCCCTGTCACAAGGCCATTGCCTGGTTTGTAACAACAGAAATTCTGCACCAGGAAAACCTCAAGTTCTGCATCTTTTATGACATATGCAGACATCTGCCTGTTTCGCTTTACTTCACATAAGCTATTCTGCCATTTTACTTGTTTGCATAATGTACTCTATTATGGGCTAGGAAAAAGAGCTGTGCTGGGCACTGAAACTCTCCCTGGAGATCTAGAAGTCTCGCTTAGCCACCCTGTGAATCAGAGTTGGAATGGCTTCCAAGGGTCATCTAGGCCAACTGCCAAGAGAGGACAAGGCTCCTGGGACTGAAATCAGCAGCGCAGGATGAGGAATTTTAGCACGTGCAGTTTCTCCCAGCGCTGCCACACCACAACAGGAGAACCTGCACTTGATGAAATTCTCTCTCATAAACCACCTGTTAAAAATCAAACTGGCCAATTTGCCACCTCTCCTCGACTTAGCCAAGGCCTCCTTTGTGCTGCCTTAAAATGCAGCAGAACTCAAAATGTTTTGATTAGAACCAATTGTGAAAGTTAGATGAAGACACAAAGATTAACCTGGTTGAGCCTCAGCGTTCATACCTTGGAGTATCAAGTTGCAATCTGAAGTTAGGGTGGAAACACCAGCACCAAACCTTGACAAGTCAGCATGAAATGCACAGCAGCTGGTTTTGGCACAGAGCCAACATGTCCTCCCTGCCCCCCCCCCCGATGTTTCAAAAGAAGAGCCTCAGTGACCAGGGATTACCAGCTAACTGAGGAGCTGGAAAACATGGTACTCACCCAGAGCCCCGTAGCTCCTCCAGGTTGGAGGCATTCCACTCGGAACCCTGGAAGAACCACACTAGAGTCAAGACACACAACAAAAGCAGCACCACAGAGGCGTTCGTGGCAAAGGCTTTCAAATGACTGGGCTCACCTGCTTGGCAACTTACCAGGTACAGATGGTCAAAAATGAGAGAGGGCTTGTCCATCTGCCCCAGGATTAGCAGCATCTCATTGTCAATGAACTCTTTGAACTCCTTCAAGTTGCAGTTCATGTGCTTCTCCAGCTCATTCCGTATCTAGACGGGCAAGAGAGTAGCAGAGTGAGGAAGGTGGCCAATCCACCCAAACACGGACTGGCCATGAAGGGAGTCACTGCTCAGCGTGAAGGAAGCCCCGGGTCCAGCCTCTGGCACCTCCTGTTAAGAGGATCAGGCACCATGAGTCAAGAAAGGCCCTTTCTCTTCCTGAGGCCTCAGGAGAGAACCTGGGCTAGATGGACAAGAGCAGCTTCTTATGTACCACATTGACTTATTTATTTAAAAACATTTATATACTGCTGTTCATAAAAAGCAGTTTACAACTATTGTACAAAAAACCATACCATAAAAGAGATATTAAAAAATTAAAATAAGAAATCAGCTGGCTATCATAGAAATAAGTATTCTTAATTGCCTGCATAGACCTGATGGAATAGAAAAGCGCCGGCTGAATCTCTAGTGCAGTGTTTCCCAACCTTTTTTGGGCAAAGGCACACTTGTTTCATGAAAAAAATCTCGAGGCACACCACCATGCCAGATGGGGAAAGGTCACTTTTTACTTATGTAAAAAAAAAAATATAAATAGTAACAGCATAGAAGGTAATGGTTAGGCTAGCATCCCTCTTCCAAATATGCTAGGTTTTTATTTGCAGGGACTGTTCTACATGGGAAAGCATTCAGCACTGTCATTCTCCCATCTGCCATCTGAATTGGTACTATTCTGGGTCAACTTACTCTGCTGCATGTGTAGATGAAAATGGCACCAAATGTGGGGGAGGGGGCAGAACAGGTTTCAGATACAGGATATTAAGCATACACGTACTTCAGATTGAACTGGTTGCTTGCTTTGCAAGTTTTCATTTCCCCAAATGACTGCCTTGGCAAGCGCAATACCTACCAGGCTCAACGCCGGTCTCGCGCTGCCGCTTCCCGCGCTCTCAAGGACCCGGGAGGAGGAAGGCGTGAAGGGAATCCCGAAGGCGCGAAAACCTCACGCATGCGCAGGCCTTCCGCCTGAGACAGCCCAGTAGGCCGGCCGAAGTGAGCGGCGATGGGATGTGGGAGGGAGCTCGCTCGCCGCCCCGCGTGTGCCTCTGTGGGGCACGTTACAGCCCCGTGACGTCAGCGCCACGCAGGCAGCCAGGCAGGCAGACGGCGAGAGCCCCGCGCTGGGCAGCCTCTCCTCGCCGCCGCCGCCCCGCCTCTCGCCGCCCGACTCGCCCGCCTCCCTCCAGGCAACATCTCGCGGCACACCAGGCAACGTCTCGCGGCACACTAGTGTGCCGCGGAACACCGGTTGGGAAACACTGCTCTAGTGTTCCCCACAGCTGGGCCAATGACACCAAAGACTCAGTTTCCTCTTGTTGTCAAAAGAGCCTCGCCAACTTGGGGAACGACCAGTGACGTTGCTCCTGCAGATGATCCCAGTGATCGTACTGGGATGTCAGGGTTCAGGCACTCCCTGATGTACCCTGGACTTAAGCTGTTGTAGATGGGCAGTCAGTGCAGATGCTCAACTATGGTGTCATGGGTTGTCAGCCAGGAGTCTGGGGCCTGCACAGAGAGAGAAACTGTTCTCGGAGCTACTGGAGCAGAACACCCTTCAACTAGTGAGGTGGCACCTTACAGTTGATACCAAAGGGAGGGCCCCCCAAGGTCAAGATCCTGGGAAGCCCCTCAGCTGTGGGAACGGATCACCAACACAACTAGGTTAGAATGCCATGGGGGGGGGGGAGTAAGTAACGGAGTCATCCTCAAGGTTCAAACTATCTAAACATAATTATCTGCAAGGGAGGGGGGAAGCACAAGGAGGTGTCCATGGTTCTCCACCTCCTCAGGTGGGTTGGAGAGAGAGGCAGTGACTGGACCAAGGTCAGCCAGAGAACTTCATGGCCAAGTGGGGATTGGAACCCTGGTCAGACACTCCTACCACTGCATCACACTGCAACAATAGTAGTAACAACAACAACAATATAGGGCCTCCGATTTTGTTTGCTAGGCAGCGAAGGAAGCAAGGCAGTCTCAGGACAGACCACCGGAGGCTCTGCTTACTTCTTTAGAGGTTACGTTCTCCAGATCTTTGCTCATCATAATACTTCGGAGTTTGGCCTTGATGTGGCGTTCTGCCCGCTCCCTCTCAGTTGGTCTGGAAAGGCAAGAAAGGGAGATGGGAGTTTCCCAGCAAAGAAATCTGTGAGGCTGCAAACCACGGAGCCTGACTCCCAATGAAGAGCTGTTCCCTGGGAACCCAGGAACTTCTGCTTTCATTGCAAAAGCAATCAAGTTACTAGTGCTCATGTGAAAGAAAAGCTAAACTAAGGCTACAAAGTCAGTGTTTACTGAAGATTCAAGCAGACTGGATGCGTGGTGCTCTCAGTAGCTAAGCAGTGAAAATACCCTTTGGCCACCATCTTGTTCCTCCATAGAGAAGCATCCCAGTATTTCCCCAAATACACCCAAGTACCTATCAAAATCCTACATATACTATCCCCTTCTTGCTTTCCACGGTTCCATCCTGGGGGAGGGGAAAGAAGACATAATTTCCCCCAGAACTGTAGAGCACCAAGCACAATTTATGCCCAGGATTGGTTTTCACATTTAACTCTGAGGAGGAGAGCCCACTGGATCAGGCGAATGGCCCATCTAGACCAGCCTCCTCTTCTCACAGTGGCCAACTAGATGCCCATTATGCAAGCAGGACCTCAGCCCAAGAGCCCTCTCCCCTTCTGTGGCTTCGAGAAACTGTGAAGGCAGAGCATAGCTCACGGGGCTAACAGTAACTGACATGCTCTCCCCGATGAATATAAGAACCCTTCTATTTGTGGGATTTCTCTAGTCAGAACACCTCAGACCAAAACCCAAAGGGGAGGACTCACGTGTCCACATATAGAGCTGGCGAGTCAGGGCGTGTGGACTCCAAGTCCTGCATGGCGTTCCACTCATTGATGCAGCTTTGCTCGGAGGCGATGCAGCTCTCGTAGTACGTGGCCCAGACGAGCGCCATCCCGCCAGGGAAGTAATTGTGCCTCCGAGCCACCTCACAAGCCTTGTGGAGGATCTGCAAGGCGGACCTGCAAGCATGGAAACCCAAAGAGAGAGAAAAATTGCCCAAGCGCCAAGAACACAGGAATGGGGGAAGGCAGAGGAACAAACATTAACAGCGGCAAAGTTTCACTACGGTTGAGCTGTTGAATTTATAAATTATGAACATAAAAGAGCCTGCCAGATCAGACAAAAGGGAGCCCAAATAGTCCAGCACCCTGTTCTCACAGTGGCCAGCCAGATTCCCATGGAAATCCAAGCACAACAGCACTCTTTCTTCCTGCAGTTTCCAGCAACTAATGTTCAGAAGCATCTACTGCCTCCAGCTGTGGAGGGCAGAGCATAGCAATCCTGGCTAACAGCCAATGATATCCTTAATCTCCTCCATGAATTTGTCAAATCCTCTAATTACCTTCACATAAGTCTCAATGCAGTTTACAAGCATATGATAAATACAACTAGAATACCAAAAACGAAAAGAAACAAAAAAAAGATGGGTTTGAAATCAGAATCCATGCTAACTGGTTTTACTGAATTAAGATGCAAGATGAACAGTTTAAGGCATCTGAAGCAGAGTATTAGGTGATGCTTTCCCAGAAGTGGGATATAATTATGGAAGAAGTTTCACACTTTGAATTTTCTCCCATCCCATAAAGGTACAGGAGTTGTGCCATCCCTGTCACTGGCACAGGACGACAGAGGCCAAGTAGCAGGAACAGTGAGTTATTTGTTGATTACATTTCTCTCCTCTGTAGCACCATGGAACCCAAGGAGGCATCCGTGGGGATCCCTGTGCAAGGGGATCCTACTGCTTCATGTGCCTTCGTCAGGTGGCAGGAAGGATGCTTCCCAGAAACACCATCCACATGGCGGCAATGCCTGGCCCCACCCCCTGCTGTCTGCACTGGTGGGGTTGAAATTTCAGGAGGCCCTTCCCACCAGTCTTTCACCACAAAGAGCCGTTTCCACACCCCTGCATTTCAAGCAGGACCACCACATAGTTTGTGTCTATAAACTGGGCCTTGGTAACATGCAAAAGCGATTAAGTGCAGGGCAAGAACATAATCCACTGGTGGCTGGGCCCATGCCTGCGCCAGCCCTTAATATTCTAAAGGGGAGGGTGCCCTCTCCAGGCCTCCTCTGGGCACTCTTTTTGCATGTGAGCAATACAGGCACAGGCCATGCTGAGCTGGACTGGAAGCACAGCAGAAAGTAAGCCAATGTGCAAAAGCACCGTGGAAGCTTGTTAGGTGACAAGATAACAGATGGCTAAAGATGGCTCTGCTCCACTTGGCCTCAGGCAAAACACTTGACTGGGTGTAGGATATTAACATGTGGGGTCAAACAGCAAGTCGTTCACAGGACAGCTGCAGTTATCACTCAATAACCTGAAAGTGTGAAAACTGTTCTCAAGTCATCATAGATCATGGCCTCTGCTCCCCCATGGCAATTATACATTAGCAAGCAGCCAGGGACACATGCATGAGCAGAGGTGAAAAGAAGAGATGGGGAGGCACAGAAGCTAGAAAGGGCCTCCCTTGCAGGCAGAAGGTGCTGGGTTCAATCTCTAGACTTTCCAGGAAGACTCTTCTTTGCCTGAGGCCCAGGAGAGCCACTGCCAGCCAGAAGAGGCAATGCTGGGCTATGCAGACCTGAGAAAGTGTGCTTCCTATGTTCTTCATCATTAGGGTTGGTATAACTTGAGATCCCTCCTCTGCCCTAGGCTGTATCCTACTAAGGCTTTGTAAAAGACTGAGTGAAGGAGAGGGTTCTAGGGAAAGGTGAAGCTGCGAAGTTCTATGAAAAGGTTTTAAGGATGGATTTCATTTCTTGGTGTTCTACAACTGCAAAGCTTCTGCACAATTTATATACCTTTTTCGTCATGCTCCCGTTCCTCACATTATTAGCCTTCCTAAATCATTTACCAGTCCAACTTCATGCTCTGGTTCAGCAAGACACCAAGAGTGTTGAGACTCTCCCATGGGACAGAAATTCAATTTCCCAGCCTGTCTTTAGAAACCTAAAATGTAAGGGTGGGTTTGCAGCCTGGCAGATTTGATGGACAAGGAAGAATGGCTCCAATTTATTCATCTCAACCATCTAGTTTCCCTCTGGTGCTTTTTCTAAAGAGAGAGGAGCTAAGTTATATCATAATTTATGGTCAAGAGTTGGCCTAGCCTTCTAGGACCCCCCTCCCCCTCCGCCAACTGCAGCAATTCAGTGATTGAGTTGTTCTGGGGGTGGAAGGCAGGGATTGTTTGCCAGGCAGGGGCACTCTGGAGTGCAGGTGAAAGGCTACATTTTGTTGTCTAGAAGGGAATGAGTCAACTGCTGAAGAAAAAGAAAAAAGTTACTCACCACATTGCTTGAACTGAAACGGGCTTGAAGATATGCATCCTCCCTGCAGTGCTGACGCTGAACCCGCTAGCAAGGAGACCAACAGAGAGAAGAAATCACTCTATGCTCCTGAGGCCATGCATAGCAAGCTATTGTTGCTGCGGTTATCACTATTATGAAGAAGAAATCATTCACACTCTTCGGGATATGCATCACAAGTTGCTGTTAGTAATACTATTCATTCTTAAACTGCTTTATAACCAAAGCTCTCATAAAGTATATATAATGTTGTATTGCTAACTACAGAGCTGTATATTCAATAAGAAGTTGAGGGTTTGGTCGCGTACCAAAAAGACACACCCTTAACAGTAGCTAAAATATATCTATACAAAACACTCGGAGTTTAATGAAGTGGCCTTTCCCTGCAGACCTGCTCTGCCTAACATCGCCTTCGTTTTGCTAGCCGCCAAAATGCTCTTGTTTCTTACCCATCACCATCTAGATGGATCTTTGTGTCACTCCACAGGCGCAGAACCATCCCGATGGTGCAGCTTTTGCTACCAAGAAAGAGAAATGACCATGTTTGACAGGCTTCAAACACAGGTGGACCTCAACAAAACAACGGCCAGATTTCATGCATTTGTTAATTACATTTTTATTCTGTCGGGGGTGGCATATATGGTCCTCTCTCCTGCCACAATGCCTCCATTTTATATTCCCTTGTGAAGCAGGTTAAGCGGAGAAAAGTGACTGGCTGGCAGACTAGGGGCTCTGGTTCAAGTCCAAAACTCCGGGCCTCTCACAATTGTTTAACATCTTCAAGATGCCTTTCAATTCCCACACAAACATCCCGGGCTGGTGTTCTAGAGAAGGACACCTTAGCAAACAGCCACAGATTTCTGGTGAGTGTTCTTGCTGTGGGTGGGAGTAGGTATCCAGAGTTTGCCCCTACACATGACACCTGAACATCTTTTATATTTTATTGTCAACTCAAGTGTCATTGACACCCTAAGCCTTTGCATTAAAATAAGACTATGTTTAAGTGTGTGGTTTCTACTGCAATTCTTTTGGACGATCGCTGACCCCCACAGAAAACAACAGGCTGGTGGCATTTTTCCCCCAAACCTGCACTCACCTCTCCTTGCTTGAAAAGTCTACTCCCAGCAGGATATTCTCCTCCGTGTCTTGGCGTCCGGTGCTATAGACAACCACCATGTACCTCACCCGGTCTGTCCAGACACTTTCCAGACGCACAGCCTAAAAACCAGCAAGACAGTTCTCAGTGACCACTTCCTTCGCACCAGCCTCTGAGGGCCCATATTCTGTTCTATTAAAGTTACAGGTGTTCCTCTTCAAGTCAATGTCTCAGATTTTGCACAAGCTCTGTATTGGCTTACCTAAGTATGTTTCTGAGGAGATAAAAGGGAGGGTGACTTAAATGGATTTGCACCCCACCAAGTGGTTGACACTATTGCCCTGCTCTGTTAACGAAGTGAGGAAATGTTCTCTAAAGGAGCAGTGGAAGACCTGTGGTGGCCTGCCAACTGCTGCTGGACTACAACTCCCATCATTCCTAACCACTGGCCATACTGGCCTGGGGCTGATGGGAGCTCAGCAAGCTCTAGAGGGCTACACCTTCCCCACCCCTGCTCTGAAATAGGCTCCTTAGGGCCTTTTAGGAAGCAGCCCAAGAGACAGTAGGAAGCCAGTGCAGGTGCTCAAACCACAATTCAAACAAGGCAGCACTCTTGGATTTCAATGGGAGAAACTGCACTCATCTTTGAGCTGGCTTGTGGCTCAAGCTGGATTACTGTGCCAGTAAAATGATTCCAAGGGCTGCTCTTCTTCAAATGCTGCCTTCACCATCCTGGATTTTAAGCACTATCTGCAGATCTGCCATACTCTCTCACGAGTCCTTTATCAAGCACCGCACAGAGATTGTGGTCCAGACACATGGGGGTTGCGGAATGAGCAAGGCCTCTTACCAATTTGATCCTGTCCTCACAGCGAAGGAGGTTGATCATCACCTGAAGATGTTGGGGCAAATCACCTGCAGATCCACAAGTAGATATGGATTAGCCTGATGCTTTGAACTGTGTGATATTCCACGTCAAGTCCACATGGTTCAAGAATGGTATGCATAAGACTACGTTGGTTTTGCTTCCCATTCCTTTAGACTTCCCCAGTCTGCCTCAGAGAGTTTAAGAGATGGCAGAACATAGCTTCGTTAGCTTCATATTAGATCCGCCCCTGCAAACCACTGCTCTGTTTAGCTTTGGTCAACTGTACACCACGTCAACTGCTCTGAGAAGCGGCTGCTCTCCAAGGGGCGTTGTTCCAGCCCAACGGCCGGAATCCTTTTCCATGGTGGATGCTTGCCCTGTTCCACCACTGAGTTGGTTTGTGTTGGACATTTGGGTACAACTCAACTTGCAGAAGAGTGGTTTGCATGGAGTAAAGGCAGGAAAAGTGAGGGACCTCCACATTCCCAGACTATCCCTGTACCTTTAACCCAGAGGTTTCCAACCTTTTTGAGTCCACAGCTCCCTTTACCAACTACATTGTTTCGGCGGCACCCCTGTGGGGCTCAGGAGCCCAGTTATGTAACCCCTTCCTCCAGAGCTGGCAGCCTCTCACCCTTTTGGGAACACCCTCCCTTGTGGAGTATTCCCTCGGCCTCCTCTCCTCTCCTTAGGAGTCCCCTGGTCTCTGAGCTGCACACACCCCCCGCCGCCCCAAAGAGAGGGGCCTCCCTCACACTGCCCCACAGGGGCCTGGGACCTGTCTGTCCACTCCCAACAGCAAGGGCTGGCGGACTGCCTGGCTAGGCTCCCTGGCCCGCTTGCTTGCTTACTCAGAGGCCGCCTCAACTCCTGACAACCAGCACCCCCTGGCCAGCCCCAGAGGCACCATTTGCCCATGGAGCTTGTAGCTAGGGCTGGTGCAACAAACAGCTGAGCAAGCCTTTGGGAGGCAGAGATGCAAGAGGGCATCAGAGGAGAGAGGGAAGGAAAGGGGACGGAGACCCCTGACCATCATTCAAGGCACCCCAGGGTGCCATGGCAAACGGGTTGAAAACCACTGCTTTAACCTACTGGCTTACTTCTTTACCTCCTTGTTGTTTAACTTTAGACTGATAGGATGCATCCTGTTTTACACCTTCCTCCTGCTCCTGACACTTCTCTCTCAGACCTCAAGCTGAGGGGTCACCTTGGAACTATGAGAGCAAAGCAGCAAGCATGATTGCCTTTGTCATTTCTAGAATAGCATGTTAGGTTAGAACTAGGAACTTTTCTATGCAAGTTATTTACTTCCTATAATAAACAACTTTTGTTATTTTCTTATTCCACAAGCGTATCTCAGTGTGTGATTACAACAGGTAAAGTCTACTCTCTAACCACAATTCACTTGCTGCCAAATGCTGCTCACTCTAGGTGGCTAAATGACCCAGCTGTTCCAATAGTTTGGCCTCAGGTCAATTGCTGGTTGGCCTAGTTTCCCTGCTTCCAAGTGAAACAAACAAGATATGTCACCCAGAATAGTCTCTGGACCCTTTGGCAGGCCCAAAGCATGATTACTCACACCATAATCTTGTAACTCAGACCTAAGATTTGCACCATGGTCCATTTTGCATTTTGCATTGAGAGTCAGAGAGGTCTTATAGTGTGTATGAGGAAGGCAAATGGATGCATGTAGCCAAGGATACAAGTCCCAGCTTAATGATTTGATGGTGCAAGCTCAGTAAGATACACTGTGGGATGGTAGCTGGGTCTGTGAAACTGCTGACATCTGGAGAAATACAAGTCTCAGCTCCCAGCCACACAGGACCGACCATGTGGTGCCCTGTCCTACAGGCTGTTTGCCCCTAAACAGGACCCAGCTCTCCTTCCCTGGCTCCCAGAGAGAAACATTTTAAACATATCAGGCTACAGAAAACCACTGCCTTAAGTTAGTATCCCCCCCCCCGTTTATTTTTCCTAGGTTATCATGCCCAAGTCATGAGGACTGCCCAAGAAAAAAAACATTTTGCTGTGACAATGCTTACCAGCATGTTTGTGAAGGTGAGTAAGACTTCGTGGACCTTGAGGGCTGTTTCCTTGCTGGAGGAATAATGCAGCACCTTTCACCATAAAAAAACTCTCACTCAAGCTGGAACACAAACAGATGCAGGAGATCAGGCTCGGGGAGGGAGGTGCAACAGGGAGGGCTATGAGGGTAAATAGCAAGTCTGGATTATCTCAGTAATGCTAGCAAGGGTGAAATCCATGCAACACACGTGTTCTCCACCTAAACTGGCCTGGGGGGCAGTCCCAAAACTCCAATCCCACCGGTTTGTAAAACACTGTCAGAATTGCAATGAAAATCATTTACAGACTTCACAATAAAGCCCCATTCCAATTCTTGTATTAGAAATATGGCATATTTATTTCATTTGTGCCCTGTTTGGGGATACTCGGGGAGAGAATAAACCAAGATGATTTCATTTTCCCAATTTCTTTCTATAACATATGTAACAAGCTTATTTCATATATTCATTTCTCAAGTCAAAGGCTACAAAGCAAGTAAATGACATACCAATAGTCAAGTAAACATTGGAAATATTTTTATCTGTTTTCCTCAAAAAAGTTCCTCTCCCCTTGAGGAAAAAGTGAGTGTCATGCGCTTCCAGTGTTTCTGGAAATCTCAAGACAATTACCGTGACGAAAGGATTGTGCCTTGTGTTCTTCAAAACACTCGAGCCCTTGTTAGACCAGAGAGTCAGCAGCAAAGTCCCAGGCTTTAAACGGCTGGCTGTCATAATGGGCTGGTGATGCTTTGCTGCTGGCAGAGGACTTTAAAGGCAGCAGGGCTGCAGGTGCGGGCCTTCTTTCCAACTGGGTTTCATGTTTGGCTGCTGTTTTTGTAGGGGAGGATTGTTGTTGTTGTTGTTTAGTCGTTTAGTCGTGTCTGACTCTTCGTGACCCCATGGACCAGAGCACGCCAGGCACTCCTGTCTTCCACCGCCTCCCGCAGTTTGGTCAGACTCATGTTTGTAGCTTCGAGAACACTGTCCAACCATCTCATCCTCTGTCGTCCCCTTCTTCTTGTGCCCTCAATCTTTCCCAACATCAGGGTCTTTTCCAGGGAGTCTTCCCTTCTCATGAGGTGGCCAAAGTATTGGAGCCTCAGCATCACGATCTGTCCTTCCAGTGAGCACTCAGGGCTGATCTCCTTAAGAATGGATAGGTTTGATCTTCTTGCAGTCCATGGGATTCTCAAGAGTCTCCTCCAGCACCATAATTCAAAAGCATCAATTCTTCGGCGATCAGCCTTCTTTATGGTCCAGCTCTCACTTCCATACATCACTACTAGGAAAACCATGGCTTTAACTATACGGACCTTTGTTGGCAAGGTGATGTCTTTGCTTTTTAAGATGCTGTCCAGGTTTGCCATCGCCTTTCTCCCAAGGAGCAGGCGTCTTTTAATTTCGTGTGACCCTCCAATTCAGTGACTCAAGAACACTTGGTTACATACGCTTCAGGTTACACACTACACTAACCCAGAAATAGTGCTTCAGGTTAAGCACTTTGCTTCAGGATAAGAACAGAAATCGTGCTCCGGCGGCGCGGAGGCAGCAGGAGGCCCCATTAGCTAAAGTGGTGCTTCAGGTTAAGAACAGTTTCAGGTTAAGTACGGACCTCCGGAACGAATTAAGTACTTAACCTGAGGTACCACTGTATCTGTTTCTTAGCATGCAGTTTCAAGCTGCTCTTTAAAAACTTCAACTGCAGGTGATTCTTTGGGATTTAGAGAGGAAGCTACCACCCCCTTTTCATGCCATCTTCCAACAGCACGTTTTGAAAAAAATTATGGGATGAAAGGGAAGAACAAAAATAAAGCTTGGACAACCCAAATTTTGCGACTGAGAGAAACTGGGACGCCGGCAAGGGCAGGCTGGTTCTGTTGTGCATTTCTCATTCATTTCGCCAGACTTGGCTAGCCAAAACTGCACATGTGTGAGAGATTCTGCATTTTAAAAGGCTGTAAAAGAATGGTCCTATCTCAAGATCTCAAGACAAAAAGGAGGTCTGCCTAACCTAGACTGGCTTGCTGTGCTTAGTAGCAGCTCTCTAGTGCAGCCTTTCTCAAACACCTCCAGCGTTTAGGTTCCTCTAATTCAGGATTTCCCAAACTTGGGCCTCCAACTGTTTTTGGACATCCCCAGCTAGCAAGACCAGAGATTATGGGAATTGTAGTTCAAAAACAGCTGGAGACCCAAGTTTAGGAAACCCTGTTCTAATGTGTTATTCTGACAAGGGTTTACCCAACTTTGAGATCTTTTAAGTTGGAAATGCCAGGAACTGAACCGGGGTCCTTCAAATATAGAGGGGACATTCAACTCCTTCCCGCTTAAAAAACAGATTTCTAATTGACTGGGAACTTCCCTAATGAAGCCTCAATGGAAACAGCTGGGATTTATGAGAAAAGAGGGCATTTCAGCAGACAACACTTGCAACACAATAAAAATAAAAATAAGCACACAATCTTTTTTATTCCGGAAGAACCTAGGTCCCCACCCCCACCCCAAATTTATAATTCATTCTTCAAGATCAGCCTCAGAAACTAACAACCTCCCACCAATATGATCTCATTGACAGGCCAACAATGAAAAAAAAATTGTGGAAAATAACTGGACAGCACATAAGGAGATATGTTGGTGCACAATGGCAGTTTTTTAAATAAAAAAAAGGCTGAAGTCAGAAAAGCCAAGCGATGAAGAGTGCTTTCTCCCATTAGCCACAAATCCCGACAGGCAATCTCTCCTAACATTTCCTGCCATTCTAAGCTCAGCAATACACAATTCCTGTTTATGATAAAGAGGAGAGAGAAACTGCCAACTGCCCGCAAACTCCAAGCAGCTTTATAAAGCATTGATGAGATCATTCTACAGCTAGGCCTAATGAAAGTGAAGTCCACAGACGATGCCTTGATTCTGCGGCCATGCGGTCACCACTGGACAGGGCAAAGGCGCTCAAGATGTTTCAAAAAGCTTGTTGATAGTGAAAAATGTAAAATAAAATAGACGTGCTTCCCGGATTTCAGCAGCTGCCTCACAAGCAAATGACATGGCATTTTCACTGCCACAGACATAAACATCATCAAAGTTGCCCTCAAATATGGCAATATCGGGCAATCCAACAAATCTGTATTGCAATGACTGTTTTTAGGAGGAAATGAACATCTTTTCAAGGACCACACTAGCATCTGTGTTGAGCACCCATCCCAAACACACACACAAACCATATTCCGCTCACACTAGTTGCCTGCAAAGTATCTTCTCTGGCTGTTGCCCCAAGACAGCACAAGCAAAGATGAACCCCCAACCGACTTAAATCAGGCTTGCTTCTATACAGCTCCCTTAAAATGCAAGTGTTAGCAATTTTGCAAACAACACACAAAAAGAAACCTTACATTTTTGCATTTTAGTTACCAAAACATCAGATCTGAAATAAACACAACGACACAGAAGATTTCACTTAAGGAGAAGAAATCTAAACAGAACCTAGAAACCTCAAGTAAGCAAAGCCATGGAGGGGAATGGGAGGGGTAACGCTCCATACGTACTATTTTGGACGGGGTTTCTTTGAGCAGCAGAAGCATTGCACTGGTCGAAAAGAGAGGCAGAAGTCAGCAAAATCTGAAAGGTTCATAACCAGCATCCTCTCACTACTCAATTTTATTATTTTTTTGGCAAGACAAAAGAGAAGAGGAGAAAACGGCCACCAACTGTTGAGTGAAGGAGAGAGGACTCTCCAAGTCTGTTGATGCTACCCAGGAAGGGGTGGCTTTTACGGAACACTGTGCTCCCCCCACCATATCCTGGCTCAGAAAGCACTTGCCCTAACATATCCTGATGAAAGAGGGCCTTTCAAAAGAAAGGGCAACGGAGGCGGGAGAAAACCAGCTGAAGCTCATCAAATCATTAAGCTCCTACAGGCTTTTCTTCTTTTCAGGCTCTGTAAAACAGCAGCAGCACCTCTTGTTTTCAGAAGAAAAGTACAGTCCAACAGCTGGGCTCCAAAAGAACTCCAAATTCATTTGAACCTCAGTAGATTAAGAAGTGTCACACTGACAGATGAGTAAGTAAAACTCTCCCCCCCCCCCCCAAACCCCAGTTCTGCACTGCATATAGAGTGAAACAGCCTCATTATGTTAAGATTTCACCTTGCATACTTCCTTGCTGGGACCATTTCAGTAGCAAATAGGTGACCATAAGGCTGTTTTTAAACAAACAATTAGGCTTTTGTATGGAAAACAACAGCCTTGTTATTTCTTGTTGGGTCAATTTTATAGAATCATAGAATTGCAGAGTTGGAAGGAACCCCAAGGGTCCAACCCCCTACAATGCAGGAATCTCAGCTAAAACATCCATGACAGGTGGTCATTCAACCCCTGCTTAAAAACCTCCAAGGAAGGAGAGTCAATTTAGAATTGTACAGCTGGATAGGGTTTCAAAGGTCCAACCTCCTCCTCCTGATGCAGGAGATCTGTTGCTATAGGATCCTTGAAAAGAGGTGACAATCCAGCCTCTGCTTGGAAATCTCTAACAAAGGAGGGCTCATCACCTTCCAACACAGTCTGCTCCACTATCAAGCAGGACGTTGAACCTATAGTCTGACCCAGACCCTGTGATCATCACTGGAGGCCCTTCTCTGTGGGCCCCCCTCCACAGGGGCTCTAGAGGGTGGCCACACAAGAGTGGGCCTTTTCACTGGTGGCTCCTTGCTTGTCGAAAAATGCTCTCCTCATCTTTAGGCGCAAGGCAGAAACAAAGTTTTTGGATTTTAATTATCTGTGGGCTCCTTTAGTGGGTGGGGTATTTTAATCCTGCCTTTTAAAAATAAGAATGTACTTTTGATTTGTTCTATGTTTTGTTTTATGGTGGTTTTACTGATGGATGACTAGATTGCTGTAACTTGCTTTGGGGTGCATTGGCAAAAAAAGGTGACCAATGTGTTTAAGAAATTAAATAAATAAGTTTAACCTAAATCAGGGATAGGCAAACTTGGCCCTCCAGATGTTTTGAGACTACAATTCCCATCACCCCTGACAACTGGTCCTGTTAGCTAGGGATGATGGGAGTTGTAGTCCCAAAAAAATATGGAGGGCCGGGTTTGCCTATGCCTGACCTAAATCCTTTTTCTTGTTTTACCTTCTGGAGCAACAGAAAACCATTTTTATCCACCATCTTGGCTAGAGCACTTCAACTCACAACTTGCACACATTTAACTCGTGTAATCACAGCTTTACACACTTGGCAGCCAGCCAGCTGAAAATTCACAAATTAAACACATGCAAGGAAAAGAGCTTAAATATGGTGGCAACTTACAGGACTGTGCCCATTAAGGCAGCCTAATTTGTAGAGAGGGGCTAAAGAGCTGGACATGCGCCTTGGTATTGTCAGAAATCCTGAAGCTGTCACTGGCTCTCTTTCTTAAAGTCTGTCCATTTTTCTAGAAACACCTTCCTCTCCACTTTCTTTGGAGAGAAGTTACCAGTCCAGGCCACAATGAACTAGCTCCCAAATAGCTGGGAAGCAGGAAGCAAGGAAGGCCACATCTAATGGGAATTGCAAGAGGAAATTAAGATACCAGGATTGAATTACCAGAGCTCATATTTGGCTGTGACACCTTTAAGCTTGCCAAAGAAACTGCTGTGGGATCCCAAGCTTGCTGCTGATTTTGCGTTGTCATTCAGAGAGATGTCATCCATTCAGCAAAGATATGGTGAATCAACATATCCATTCTGCAGATTCCCAACACTTCTATTAAGAAAGGAAGGCATTTGCATTCCTGATGGTGTTTCTGCAGCATGCAGTCCAGTGCCAGAAGCAGTCTTCTGAGTCAAGGCACCCAAGAGGCGTTTCAGACAGGTGCTATAATCAACTACCTGAGAGAGAAAGTCAAGCTCATGCTTGTGCCATGGCTCAAGACCATATCACCTCAGCTCTGCTGGGCCTGCACTTTCCAAAGAGAAACCACAACTAGCTGCGATTTTGGCAGCAACAGGACTTACCGTATTTTTCGCCCTATAGGACGCACTTTTTCCCCTCCAAAAATGATGTTCTATGCTGACGGGGTCTCACTCCTGTCAGCAGTCATGCTGCAGCATTATGCTCTAACTGCAGCTTTCAGATCAAGCACAAGGGAGGCCCCTTTGGTCTGATCTAGCTGACCTAGTCTTATGCTGCTTAGCAAGCTCTAAAATTTGTTGCTTTTTGTGTAGTCTGACACAGTTCAAGAGTGTGAATTAAATGATCAACATTAAATGGTGGATTATACCAAAATGAGTATAGTTTTATTAAGAATGTGTCGTGTCAAAGGCAGGCTGCCCCACAGAGAATTCTCATCATAGCCTCTCTTAAAGGAAGCACAATTCCACCCATCAATTTGCCACTGGTTTACTCCTGACCAGCGGCAGTTGCTGTCAAATTTCTGTGGGAAGAACCAACAGCCTCTTGATGCCTCCTTGGGGATGTTTGAAACAAGGAGCAAAGACAGTTACAGGATGGAGCACACAGACACTTTGGCCAGGAGGGTGAGCGCCCTTTCTGGAGGTAACATCTGACGAGGCCTCCGCTGCCTTTCAGATACAAGGGCAGGCTGCGAGCGAGAGCGGCTGGCAAGTTTCGCTCCAAATGCTTGCAGCACTCTGCCAACAAAAGTTATCTTCTGAGCAGGGTATTGTTTGAGCAAGAGGGCGTAGGCTGTGTTCACTACCCAAGAATTCCAAGCAGTGTTTTCAGAGACTGCAGGCCATTCACGGTGCCAGATGCAAAAGCTCTTTCAGGGCAGGGAAGGAGGAAATCAAACAGGGAGCCCACAAAGGCAGATTTCCCAGCAGGAACAAACTGCCAGCAATGCCAGCCAACTCTGCCATGGTGACACAGATTTGCTTCATCATGATTGCAATCTGCACTTTTCTGTCAGCTGCAAGACACACACACCACAGGAGAGGGTTCCACACAAGCAGAAAAGCCACACTGTGCAGCGTCCCAGGCCCACCTTGGGGGGAGTCGAGCTTAATCTCTCATCTCCCATCATGCAGCAGGCTTAGATAGAAACACAAAGGACCCATTTTCAAGGATGGCCATTTGAATGCAAGCAAGCAGACAGGCTTAAGTAGCGTAGGCACAATCCACAAGGAATGTCTTCTGGTTATGCCTTGCTGAGGGCAAGTGGAACCGCCCCAGGAGAACAAGCACTCCAAAAAGAGGGTGCACAACAGAACATGAACATTAAGATCATGCTTAGCATTTGCAGTGCTTGATCAGTAGATATATCCTTTATAACACTGTCACTCAGTGAAGCAATAGGCTCTTCAGTTGAGAGTTTGGTGAATGAAGGATCAATTTCAAGTTCTGTAGCAGAATCTAGCATTTTGAATGTTACCTGTCCACTTGCTGATAGACAAGGTCTTCCCATTGACTGCTGTAATCAAGCTGTCGCAGGGGTAACTCATTGGTGTGGACGGCACAAACCAACCAGATCAGCTTATGACCAAGCTTGACCTCTACCCAACAGCCAGTGTTAACATTTGTAGTATCGCCTCCAATGGCCTGCAAGCTCTTATCAGTGCCCTTCTTCACAAAATCTACAAGATTATGAGTAATAACTTCAACTGGTCCCCCCCCCGAGTCTTTCTCTAGAGTAGTGGTAGAGTTATCTTCCACCTCGTTCACTGCACATGAAATAATACTGTTCTATGATGATGGCGCTGTGGGTAAAAGCCTCAGCGCCTAGGGCTTGCCGATCGAAAGGTCGGCAGTTCGAATCCCCGCGGCGGGGTGCGCTCCTGTTGCTTGGTCCCAGCACCTTCCAACCTAGCAGTTCGAAAGCACCCCTGGGTGCAAGTAGATAAATAGGGACCGCTTACTGGTGGGAAGGTAAACGGCGTTTCCGTGTGCTGCGCTGGCTCGCCAGATGCAGCTTTGTCACGCTGGCCACGTGACCCGGAAGTGTCTCCGGACAGCGCTGGCCCTCGGCCTCTTGAGTGAGATGGGCGCACAACCCCAGAGTCTGTCAAGACTGGCCCGTACGGGCAGGGGTACCTTTACCTACGATGATGCTGGGGAACTGCTGATCTGAACTGTCTGTTTTTAGTGTAACTTTATTTGTATATTCATGGCTATCAAGAAGATGCAGTCCATCTCATCCTTCTGACATAGATAATCCAATGCCTAATCCAGGGCTTTCACAAATATTTCTTAGGCCCTCTTGACTTTATGTGATCCAACTACAAGCCTCTTGTCCTCTTCAGTAATCAAGCCAGCAGTGGCAGTTGTGGCATGCAGGCCAATCCCCTATCAGATGCTCTTTTATAATGTGTTACACTCTGACTTTTTATTAGAAGTGGAATGTGTACTTGGTTTCACTAATGTCCATTCATAACTTCCATAATTTACATCTTGGGCATCAGCTATTTGTTCTTCATTTTCATCAGCAGAGAATTTTTTTTCATTTGATGGTATTGAAGCATCCTGCTTACTTCTCTGCCCTACTTTGACAAACCTCTCTTCCAATATCTAAGCCAGTGGCTATTACAACATCTTACAGTAACAAAACAGTATCAGTTAATGATGTGTTGTGCGAAAAAGTACTATATTTTACCTGTGCAGAGGAGATCACCAATTATTTATTTAGAATATTATTATTACTACTACTAAAGGTAAAGGGACCCCTGGCCATTAGGTCCAGTTGCAAACGACTCTGGGGTTGCAGGACTCATCTCGCTTTACTGGCCGAGGGAGCTGGCATACAGTTTCCGGGTCATGTGGCCAGCATGACTAAGCCGTTTCTGGCGAACCAGAGCAGCACATGGAAACGCCGTTTACCTTCCCGCCGGAGCAGTACCTATTTATCTACTTGTGGCGCTGTGGGTAAAACCTCAGTGCCTAGGACTTGCCGACTGTATGGTCGGCAGTTCGAATCCCCATGGCAGGGTGAGCTCCCGTCTTTCGGTCCCAGCTCCTGCCCACCTAGCAGTTCGAAAGCACCCCTAAGTGCAAGTAGAAAAATAGGTATCGCTTTATAGCGGGAAGGTAAATGGCGT